CTCTTCCGCCTCCATTCGCACCACCATGTTGTTCTCTTCGCCCTCGGGAAATCCCACGACGCAACTCCACTTCGCGTTAAACACGGATTCGTAGAGTCCCTCCAGCAACGGTCGTCGGCCCCTTTCCTCCTCTTCGTGCTCTCTTCCTTCCACCCTTCGGGGCTACGGTGCGAGTTGTTGCCTGTTGCCATCAAACCTCAACCTCGTCTGCTGCCCTCCTCCCTGTCAAACATTAGTTGCAGGGGGCTCCTCGGTGCCGTGGCATTCTTCCTCGCAGCTCTCAGACATGTTTTCCTTCATTAATTTTGTTTTCCTTCGTAGTGGTTAAGTTAACGTGAGTTGAACTGTGGGCGAACACCAACTACCAGACAAAAGGGGGAATGAAAGAAAAAGGTAAAATACGCACAGACGCAGCTCTACGCAGCCGCAACGAAAAAAAGAGAGAGGGCCACCCACAAGGTACGCGGCACACAGACCTCACACACACACACGCCTCTGTAAATTCCCAAGGGCGAGGTGTGAGGTGAAAAACGTCATTGGATATTGCTTGGGAACCTGCGCCCCCTGGCCTCTACGCCACCACCGTCGAAAGACTGTTTTTGAGCGGTAAAGTGTTGCCAAACATTTTGAAATATTGGGTAGGAGGGTGGGGGCCATATATCACCTGAAGAAAAGACTCATAGGGAGCTGATGGGTGGGGTCTCTGAGAAGTCGCCGGCCCGCTAGCAGCGCGGGGAAGCGCCTCGGTTCCGTAGAATGCCGCCCGGGCCAATTGTGTCGAAAGAGACGATTTTTTATATTGGCCTGGGTTGGTTTGTTTGTTTGCGAGTACTTCATGCTTTCTTGGCCAAAGAGACCCGTGCTGAGGCCTTCCGACGTAGCGGCTCTCGTTGCAACCAAAGGGGTCAGGGATGAGGGGTCACTGATTTTCCATTATTTAATGTGCTTTTTATTTTGTTTCAGCTTCGAATGCATTCAGCACGCGCATTGAAGCTGAAGAGAAGGTGTTCCTGCAAAGGAACTGCGCCGCCTTGATGTTCGCGACTGGGTTAGCGCGCACAGGCACGTCCGCAGATGAGCGAAAGGCCATGCTTCGCGTGCGCAGCTCCTCTTCACTTTTTTTTGCCTCCATGGTGTCCCGATTTTTTTTTTTTTTGCGGCCTAATCGTTTCAATTACAATCGCCCGGGCCAGCAGCAGCTTCGCTTGAGTGTCTGGACTTGGCGATTTTATCAGATAGCAGAAACTTTTAAGAGATTGCGGGGACCGTATGCGGAAATTATACGCAATATATATATATATATATATATATTGTGTGACAGATTTTTCTTATGTTTTGGGATTTTTTTTATTTTTGCCTTTGAAGAACATTTGTGGTGTTTTTTACTCCTTGTTTTTTGTGGCGCTGGGAATCTATCACTGATGTTTTTTTTTGTTCCCATTATGCTTTACTGCATGTCTTTACACATGGGATATTTCAAGATAAGGGAATGGAATTTCTTGCTCAATTGTATAACGATGACGCCTATGGCGACCACCTGGATGCTAATCCATCTTTTTCGCTTGCGGTAATCAGTGGCAAAAGGCTTCGAATTGCTGAGGGTTTATCCCGTTTCTTTGAGTTGCATAAACGTTTTCGGGTAAATTACTTTTCTGAGTTACAAGCTCTTTTTACCAAGGGCGTGGATGACAGTTTGCCTTCAGAAGTTTCAGGTATACTGAAGAGCAACTGGTGTTCAAAGCATGTCCGAGTAATATGTAGCTGTGTTCTTTTTTGTTTGGACTGGGATGAGTTGGGAGAGGCGCCGTTAGATGAAGTTTGGTTATCTGAGATTTCCAACCGGTTAAGAGAATATACGCGTTTGTTTCATGGCAAAGTCATTATTGCACTGACTACTGCGAATGGAATTAGAATCAGTAAGAACGCTGCCGCGCAACTGGAGAAACTTCAATATGATATGAAAATGTTTCTTGGTCATGACTTCAAGGACGTTTTACCCCTTTTTGAATTGGGAATGGAGAAGCAGAGTGCAGGAAAACTTTTTGAAATTGCAGTGGAGTTAGCTACAAAGTATCATACGGAAGAGGTATTGCGTTTAAAGAATTTCAAATTTGACCCGAGCTACTCTTTGGTCAGGCGTGATTTTAAAATTGGATGGCATTACCTTGTTTTGAATGAAAAAAAATCAGCTCAAAAGCATTTTGAAAATTCGTATAAAATACTGAGAAAGCTAGCTCCGCCTTGGCCAGCGATGGAGCTACGTGCCTGTGGTACCATTCTTCTTTTTCGTGTATTACACAATGTTTCTCGAGAATCGCCTAGTTTTTCAGTTGATATTAATCGTGAACTTGTCGAGGAGCATATTATGTGGATTGGAAAGGCTCTCCGTTGCGGTTCTCCTGAATTTAAGTCCATGGCTAGATTTCTTCGACTATTGCTTGTGGGGGAATGCTATGAATGGTTGTTTCGAAATTGCCGTTATTTGTCGGCTGCGACTCGAAGGGATTATCTTGTTGCTGCAACAGGTGCATTTGAGGAAGCTATTGAGCTAAGCCGGTCGTGTACTTCCACGAAAGGGCCAAATGTTGCTCCTGTTTTTGTTGGTACAGAGTGTTACCTTGACACCCACAATTTTATTTTTTCTACTGAAAGTTGTTTGAGAGCTTTGCAAGTACGTATAAAGAATTTATTGAGCGAAATTGAATTAAGTAGTAATTTGTCTCCAGACGCGCTGTATATTTCTGTTGGAGCCTACATTAATTTCCATGCGTGGGAACGTGTTTTTTTTTGGATGAAAAAGTTTGGGGAACTACGTATAGGAACCTACAGGGAAGCGGAGGTTTTACATAAACTTTGGATCTGTGCTATGAACGCCACTGGCGGGAAGCTTACTGAAGAGGTTCGAGAAAATATTCTTTTTTCGTCGGTGTCACTCTGTTTTGGACCCACTGTGGAAAGTGTACAAAGGCATTATATGCAACAGTTTCTGGTTTTGATGAGGTTGCATGAATTGAACCAGGTGAATTTGTCATATCCTAGAAGAGGTCATTTTGCACCCTTTACCGTATTATGCAGTTTTCAGTGTGATCATCATGTGTGTGCAACCCCAACGGAAATATATTTTACACTTTTTACTGCCTCTGTTAAAATGATTACTTTGAGTTTTCTTTATGTTACGGTTTCCCGGTTATCTGCAGATGGGACGGAGAGTTTGAGTACATACTTGGTCTTAGATAAAGGTCTAAAATTCAATTTAAATGCTCCAGCTTTTGCTTGTCTTAATGTGACTCTTGAGGAGCCGGGAATTTATCATTGCACACGTGTTCAAGGATGCGTAGATTGTTCTGGTATACGCTTAAATGTGGAGTGGAAGCTTGAAAAAAAGTTGAGTATAGAACCATTGTTAAGACAAACAGAAAGGTTTGGAAGTTCCACTGAGCTATTATATCATAAGCCATGGATATGTGTAGTCCGACCGGCGTGTCAAGTTGATATCGAAATTCCTAGTACAATTACAGCAGTTGAAGGAGAGGACCTAAATTTGGATATTGTGATAAAGTCAGAGAAAGATTTAAACGGGAAAGGTCGTCTTGTAATACATTATGTCCCTGGTTTGTATGAAGTTGCCTGTGATGCGTTTCAAGGGAAATACGTGAAAAGGAGCGAAAGTTTTCGAAAGGGGTATCGCGGCTTTGTTTTGGATGATCTTAATCCTATATCTCGTGATCATCCGTTACGTGTCTCACTGAACTACCGGTGCCTCCGGGCAGGAAAATATATCGCTTCTATTTTGTTTTACTATAACTCGGTCAATTATTCAGACATTGAGATTGTGAAAAAAATTCATTTGAATATTTTGTATCCCTTTTCCCCAACATATACTTCCCTGAAGGTATTACCGTGGTTGGTGACACCACTTACGGGGGATGTGTTGGTGGGATCGGAAACCACCCTCAGTGTGCCAGATTTTTCTCGAGCATCTATACAACACGAAAAATTTGTGCTGCTTCACCCGTGTTATAGTACGAGAGAAAATGTATCGTCATTCCAAGATAACAGAGATTCTCTTGTATATGCCGGTCACACTGAGGTGGAAGACAATACTGAAAATTTTAATCTTACAAAGGGGGGAGAGATTGTTCTTTTGGCCTCCATGGAAACTCAGGCCCTCCAAGGTTTAACGGTGGAAGATTTGGATGTTGTTTGTACGCATGCCGTGTTAGTTGTATCGCTGACAGTGGGCGAACTACCTTGTCATCTTGAGCATTTGGAAGTTTTGAGATTGAGTATGAAGCTTCGTGTTTTGGATGTTGGAAAATTTTCTTTGGGCTTTATTCGAATGATTTTAGCCCCAATAAATGGCGCGCAGCGTATTGTTTCTGATCTTCCTTTACCTGAAGTGAAAGTGGAAGATATGCCGCTTCTGTTGACTTTGAGGGCTCCTTCGATTGCTATTATTGGTACCCCAATCCTTATTTCTTTTGTTGTTGCTAACAAAACAGAGCACCTTCAAAACTGTGAGATGGTGATTGAGAAAAATGATAGTTGCTTTTTAATAGGTGGAAGAACGCAGTGGAGCTTCTGCTTACCCCCTAATACCACCAAGTCGACAGAAATAACTATGCAACCACTTTGTATTGGTACAATTCCTTTACCTTCTTTTTATCTACGACATTCTACAGGTGTGGTATCTGGATCGTGTGCCGTGTGTGTAAGTGGCTCACAAAGGATTTGTGTTGTACCACCCTGATTGCATCAGCTATGTAAAGAAATTGTTTGCTTTCGAATGATTGTAGAATTAGAAAATAGTTTTTTTTTGTTTTTTTTTTTTGTACTGGATTTGCCAAACTTGTCGAATTACCTTCTGTTCCTTTTTTTTTTTTTGTTTGACGTAAGGAATATATAATATAATATATATATATATATATTAGTTGTAGAGAGTGAGTATAGAGCTGCACCGCGTCGTCCATGCTAGAAGAGAATCTGGATGTGGCACTTGAAAAGGCCGTGTCACTGGGTCTCAACTGTGACGCCGACACCCTTAAGAAACTACGACAAGTACCTCTTCTTTACCTGTCCCGCATGATGGGTACATATCTTACGAATGAGAAGTACATCATTGAGGCGCTCTCTCTTTTGAGTCTAGCAACGGCAGGACGAGAAAGTCTACTCGATGAAGAAGCTGTAGTTGTACTGAAGTTTTTCTCAGGTAAACTTTCATCGTTACAGATTGTTGAAACTTCTGTGGAATGCATAGCGAGGGTTATTGAAGATTTGTCCATGCAACGACCGTGTAGCAAAAACGTTTTTGCTGAGTTGGCCAATGGCTTCTTACCCAATGTTAGGTTTCAGGCCTTGCCAACAAAAGTCCGGCGGAGTGGATTTAAAATTATTAACTACATGCTTTCAGAAGCTTCAGTACCATGGCTTACCACGCCTGTTCTCCGTTTGCTTTTGGAAGCCATGGATGGGGAAGGGGAACCCGAACTTGTTGTAAACACGTTTGAGTTTCACCACTTTATAAATACCTTTGCTGATAAAAGTAACCTAGCTCCTCTGAAAGAGGAGTACTTTGATAGTCTCTCCAGTTACTTTCCCGTTGTATTTTCCCAACCGCCAGGGTGCAAGGTGACGCGAGATGACTTGAAACGAGGTCTCACCCGCTGTATGACTTCTCCCTTGTACGTGGATTCTTGCGTCTCATTTATTCTATCAAGGCTGTCGTCGCCGTCGTCTCTTGTGAAGCAGGAGTCTATAGCCGTCCTCTTGGAACTATTCTCTTTGAATTCGGGGTACATCATGGATGATTTGAGTAATCATGTCGTTTCTGTTGTAAGCCATGTACGGAATGAAACTATCAAGGGTGTATCACTGAGTTGTAATGAAGGGGATTCCTATTTACGAGACTGTATGAGGCTATTGGGTTATATTGGCAAACAAGCCCATGGAGCTTCATCATCACTCATCGCCTCCTGGATGGACCCAGTAACAAGCGGCGCTTTGGTCAGTTTGAGTTCTGGACAAGCTATCTGCTCTGCATATGCCACTATGGTGCATCATTTAGCTTGCAGTGATGTTTCCTGTGGTGTTGCCCTCTTGTCACATTTTATGCCCCTGTTATTGTTGAACCTCCACGATGAGGTTGATGGCGAGAGTGAAAATGTTTTTATTATTCTCTCAGGTTTTTTGACGGGCATTTTGGATTTGTGTACCTCTGATGAGGTGCGTTGCGGCTTGTCATCGTCTCGGGCAGAAGTGAAGCGAAGTCTGGAATTAAGCTCGCCAGGATTACTCCGGCTTGTGGAAAGCCTCTTACGGGCCCTCAACACAACAACTGAAGCACCTTCAAAACTCATCATGTGTGAACTACTTTCATCCGTATTAAGTTTGGATGCGTGCCTGCATCCGTGGTTGCCTGCAGAAATGTTTCGCGCGTCGTACGAAACCTTACTGCTAATTTGCTTGCAAGGTGATGAGGGAATTCAAGCTAAGGCTGCCAGCTTTATCGCTCGCATTGGTCGTCTGGAAGGGAATGCTTTGAAGGATGTTCTTCCTCATGTAATAGGTGCTGAAATTGTATTTACCACAACTGGACTTGAGACTCTTTTTAATGCTCTTTTGACGTCATCTGTTCCCACCGCTCTTCTGGCATTGGAGCTTTTGTTAAATCCCTCGGCTTCAGTAGCAGCACAACTTTCAGAAACGGAGTTGTTTTCTTTGTGCGGACATGCTCTTGCCGTAAATGCGGACTTCTCAGAGGAAGCCATATCACATTTGTTGCATCTTGTGGCTTCTAAAAATACACCAGCGAGCTTTGAATTCTTATGTGAGCTGCTTGCAAGGATTCCTTTGTCTACACGTGTGAGAACCGTGCTAGAGATGATTGGCGGAAGACAGTGTAGCATTCTGGCTATTGCGCTGCTTGTTTCGTCTGACGCGGACGTGCTCCAGGTTGCGGAGACCTCAGAGCACTGGGTCACGGAGATGTTGAACGCCGTCCAAGACGAGAAGCTTCTTGGCGTGGCGTTGCAAGGCGTGTCAGCCGTGTGCGTACATGCGCCAAACGCTGCAGATTGTTTCTTGGCAGGGTCAACAGGCCTAGAGCCAAAACTTCAGCTCGCCGTGTATGCGGCCACCGCGCGTGGTCTATTAAGGACTGGCGTGGAAATGAATGACAAAGTGGAGAGTATAACATTTAATTTAATGGACGCACTGTGTAGTGGTGTAGACATTGAGGAAGCTTTGATCACCACATTTTTTTCTCCATCATCAGGCCCGAATAAGAGTGTGACGCTTCTAGTTTCAATTATTCAGTGTTTACGGAGCAGAGAGACTCCTTTGCCAAGTACGTCACTGAGGGTCCTGCGTCAACTGCTTGCGAAGGGACCACTGGACCCGGACTTTGAGTGGGGTGGTATTCTAGACGTATGCGAGCATGTAGCAAGACAGGAACCCTCAGAAGGCCATCTTACTCTTCTTGTCGAGCTTTTGGAGTGTATACTTTCTCGGATAGGCTCCAAGGCCCTTTTCATGATGCGGCTTCTGGCAAACGATGATGCTCTCTTTCAAGCAGTGCTGAGTGCCGTGCGTTCCCCGGCCCTGCAGGTCCGATGCGCTTCCCTGCGTCTCCTGTCGGAGGTGGCTCTCTTTGTAATGCAGGCCCGTGAGACGAATAACGAGGACGACTTAAAGTATAAAAAACTCGTTGCAAAGGTGAGGGATGAGGTACTGCACGTAACACAATGTTCCCTGGCGGATCACAAACGCCTGGTGCGTCGTGCTGCCGCACACTGCCGGCATCAGTGGTATAAATTAAGGTGAAACGGCTCGCTCTGTGCCTACCTTGAGGGTAATGTATTCCACTACCAACGTCACCACCAGTACAACATATATATGCCTTAATTAATTATGTGTTTGTTTTGCAGCTTCCTCCACTTACCATACCATCTGTCCACAAAGGAGTTGCCTGGCTTCATTGCAGGCATTTGTTTCCTATTTTATTTTCGTTTTGCTCTTGTTGCCACCGAGGTGCTTTAGTATTATTACTATTAGGTTGTTTATACAAGGGAGCACCGCAAAAGTTAAATATGAGGATCGTTGTTTTTCTGGATGTCCGGAGCGAGGAACTCTGTGCTGCTGTTGCGGCGGAAGCGGCTCTTGCGGGTGAGTTTGTTGAAATTGTGCCGTGCCACCATTCCCTGGTCCAGACCCTGCGTCGCAGGGAGTCGCGGCACGAGGGGAGAAGCGACACCTTCACCTGCCTTATCACAGAGAAGAGGAGTCTGAAGGATGCGGGCGTTGTGTACGCCCTGTTCTGCCGCCGCATCTCTGTCCTCTTGTTGGGAGAAAGCAACATCTCCCACGTGTCGGTCCCCTTGCTGGAGACCATTTGGTCCCTTTCTGTGGATAAGTCCGGTGGCCTCCTCCTGGCGCAGCTCCGTGCTGTAAAGGCGTTTTTTGCCTTTGACTCAAGCAAGAGTCGGGTCATTGTGTTTGAGGGCGGCGACGGAGTGGGGAAGGCAACGCAAACAAAGCTTCTACTCAGCCGCCTTGCATCTCAGGGGCACCGTGTCGCGCACTACGAGTTTCCATCGGAGAGAAACCGATACGGTGAACTTCTTCGGGAGGTTCTCTCGGGAAAGAAGGGAGGGATAAAAGATCTTGACCCCAAGTTGTTTAGCTTATTGTTTTCCATGAATCGTTTTGCTTGTTTGCCTGAGCTTCAGTACTGGATGCGTCGTGGAACGAAGATTGTTCTGGATCGGTATTACACGGCAAATTGTGGGCATCAGGCCTCAAAGTTCTCAGAAGAGGAACGGATTGCCTTTATTTTCCATCTACAGTTGATGGAGGTCTCCTGGCTGCGACTTCCGCCAGCCAACCTTGTGCTCTACCTGGACCTCCCCCCGCAGGCCGCGTTGTCTGCCATGAAAGTGGACCCACACCGCGGTCCACTGGACATTCATGAAACGGCGCAGAGCGCGTACAAGGAGAGTGTTAGAAACACATATTTGTGGTGCTGCAAAAAAATGCCTTTTTGGTTTCATATACGCTGCTGCGATGACGAAGCCTCACGCCTAAGTCGGGAAGAAACACACGATAAGGTGTACGAAGCGGTTGAGCGTTGTCTTTGCCTCGTCAAAGGATAAACCCAACAGTAGTTTTTTTTTTTTTCTTGCCTTCATCTTTGTTTATCACAGGAACTGTCATTATATATATATTTATACATTTATTGCCTTTTTTTTTTCATTGGTAAGTGCGGGGAAGATGGCAAAGGTTTACGTGGATAGGGCCAAGAAGATTTTGCAACTGACGAAGAAGACTTCGGCTGTTCGTCGGAGTCGTGCTTCTCCACGGTTGTACATGAAGGGCACCCTCGCCGGCTATACAAGGGGACTGCACGGTCAGAACAAAAACACCGCACTGATTCGTGTTGAGAACGTCAATACGACGGCGGATGCCAAGTGGTACGTCGGGAAGCGTGTCTGCTACGTGTATCATGGCTACAAGGTGAAGCGCTGCGTACGCTGGTCAAAGGCTCCGGCACGCCGTAGCAACACCCGTGCGCTGTGGGGCCGTGTTACCAGGCCGCACGGAGGGTCTGGTGTGGTGCGCGCCAAGTTCAACACTCCTCTTCCCGCGTCCGCAATTGGAAGAAGGATCCGGGTGTACTTGTATCCAAGCCGCGTTTAACTCCTCTTGAGTTGCCTTGTTTCCTGTTTCTTTGTTGTTTTCTTCTTTTTTTTCTTGTTTCTCTCTGTGTGCACGCGTTTCGCACACCACAGTCCCTCACACTGCCGTCGGGACTTGTTTTTTGTTTTTTTTGACTCTTCTCACCGGTGTTGCTGTTTTGCCCCTGATGACGTCATTTCTACCCCATCTCTTGTTGTTGCTGTTGTTTACTGTGAAAAAAGCATGATGGAGCGGTAGGAAGAGGAGAAATGCATAGGGGAGGAGCAGCCACTACAATCGTTGACATTCAGTATAGTTGTGTATTCACGTCGTGTACAGTGTATTACACACCTTTTCCAGTTGTGCGTCTTGCCAGGGATGACGCCGGGGAAGGAGAGACTGTGATGGCCGTTGTGGGCAACGGGGGTGGCCTTGAGCCTGCGACGCTGGTCAGTTTAGACTTTGGCAATAAGCAGGCTTCTACTTTTTGGCAGCTGCTGAACGAGGGCAAGCACGTGGTTTTGCCAGCCTCACCGTTGTGCCTGGGCCTGACAACCAATGCGTCGCGTTCGCTATGCTGCACAGTTCTAGTTGAGAAAACTAGTAACCCGCCTGTCCCTACTTCTACAGCCTTTGTGTACAGCTTTGGCGACGGCGAGGCACCAAGGCTTAACGGCAGATTGGCTTCTTGCCACAGTTGTGATTTTCACCGTGATAAATTGTGGTGTCTGTCGCAGACAAAACAGGGGGTTAAAGGTGGCGTGTTGCTTTTTTCGCTTAATGACTTGGCTGGGGATGCACAGTTACACGTGATCGATGATAATTCTGCCTTTCTAGGCGTAGTTCCCGCCCCAATTTCCATAGAAGCCGTGGATGTCAATGTTGCCCATATTTTTACGGATCATGGTGTTCTTCGCTGTGATGCCAGGATGAAAGAGCTGCACTGGATTTGGCAGTCAAGGGAGCATCTACTCTCCGGTGTTGGGTGCAAGCGTGGGGAGAGGATAGTGCTTGCTTCGGAATCTGACGCAGTCATGGTGTTTGACGTCCGTAAGGCATTTCATGCCATGTACGAGGTGAACGTGTCCTTTCCAGTTGTCTTGCGCTCATCAAGAAGCGGAAGCGTGGTACTTGCCGCTTCCCGCCATCAAGTAGGTGTCTTTCATGTGGAACAACTGGAGTTCTTGGGGGCGTTTGATGGCCCAGGCGGGGTGCTTGACGCCACTCCGCTAGTCGAGGAGAAGCACGCAGTTCGGGTGGTCTCTGTGACTGCTGACGGATGCCTTTGTGACTGGACGATGGAGTTTTAGAAACCAGGTGCCCATCGGCGACAGAGGCCCAATGAGAGAGAATGGGAGAGAGAAAGAGAAAGACATGTAAGGGCTGAACGAGAAGTTTGTGAATCAAATGGAATCCGTGAAGTTTTGTATTGTTTTGTTTTTTGCTCTCTTTCAGCCCATGACGTTCCCCATTTAGTTTTGATTTCTAATGCTTTGGTTTTTCCGCGGCATACACGTGTGCGGCGTGGAGAAAAGGAAAACAGCAAAGGAGGCTAGAAAGGCGAGAGTGCCCTTCATGTGAGTTGTTGTGTGATGTGGTTGCTTTGGTTTTGATGTTTTGTCTTTGAAGTTTTTTCTGCATTGTAAGAAGTGGAAAAAGGGATGTCGTCGGAAGGAAAGGGTTACGGTTACCCATACGATCAGTATAAAGCTGGATATGGCCAGTCTCAGCCACAATATGGCCAGTCTCAGCCACAATATGGCCAGCCTCAGCCACAATATGGCCAGCCTCAGCCACAATATGGCCAGCCTCAGCCAGGTTACGGCAGTATCAAGCTGGGTATGGCCAGCCTCAGTCTCAGCCTCAGCCTCAATATGGCCAGCCTCAGCCAGGTTACGGGCAGTATCAAGCTGGGTATGGCCAGCCTCAGTCTCAGCCTCAGCCTCAATATGGCCAGCCTCAGCCAGGTTACGGGCAGTATCAAGCTGGGTATGGGCAGCCCCAGCCAGGTTATGGGCAGCCCTATCAGCCAGGTTACGGACAAGCACC